AATTAGAGGTTAAAATTACTTCAAATGTAACGAGTACACAGTAACGCGTTACAATTGTAACGAGTATTTACAGCCCTCTGTAAACCATTGAAACGAGTAAACTAAAGTCTACAGGAGGAATTTGTAAAAAAGAAGAGAAGCTAAACGAGTAAAGAGTGGGGACTAATTATTTGTTATGGCAAAACATAAATAATCCGAACTGTTCACTTGCAGGTGCACCCATTACAGTGTAAACATGCCAAGTTTGACTAAATTTGATTAAGTTATCATCAAAGATATCAGACTTTCTTGACACGATCTCACGGTGACGTCACAACGTCAAAATATTTAAAAAAAAAGCGAGATAAATTGAATATGAATAAACTGTTACAGTCATTCTTCATCATTGAAGCTGTATTTTTGAGCAAAACAAAACCTCTACAGAAAATTAAAGAATCAATCAATCAAGATTACGTTCATTTCCACACAGTGTAGAACATCATTTACAAAGGATCTGCTTTAGCTACTGTTTCAATATTGTAGTTTACTTTTTTGTTTTTACTTAATCCCCCATCAATATAAAACGTAAACTTAAAAATAACACTGCTTGTTGTTTATAGACAGTCATATTCTATTTTATATATATATATATACGAGCAGTGAGGCAGCTATAAATTTTATACAGTTGTTATTCAGTTGACAGCTATAGTTTTTCATTATAAAGCGCTCAACATTGGCATTGATTTTATTTCCCAGATTCCACTAACAAACATTTTAAAATTATTTATATATTCATAGGTATATAGATTTGCTTTGTAAATAATCTAAGAACTAAACTCATCTTTGTCAACTTGTTTTTATATTATTTTATAGTCTTTTATAGCGTAACATGGTCTGAAACAGACTACCTGACTGTCGCCTGAACTGCCGCAAAATAAGCTTTTTTAAAAGTCTCGCGTGAGGCCCCACGGCAATAACACAAGCCAGTTTTTATATACAACATGTATCCATGCTATAGCATTCCGTGGACGAAATATAAAAAAAATCACGATTATCGCACATAGTAAATTAACCTTTTAACTTATGTACTTTTATTGTATTTACCTAGCTTTAATTCTATTAGTTTACATATGCAGAGAAAGCATTAAACAAAAATGAGAAATTATAAGACTTCAAAAGCTTACAGACTGCAGACATATTAAATATACATTCAGTAACAACACGCGAATTGCCATAAATAGCAACGTTACCGTCTAGTATAATGATATGATGATTTGTTGTGCTTTTGTTGTAAGTGGGCCTATCACTAAAATATATTGAAAATCCTTCTAAACGATTCTTTATAAAGTATACAACAAAGCATATACATTGATATCGAAACACAAAATTCAAAGTTTTGAACAATTTGAGCTTCGTGACTCTGGTATAGACCATGATTTAATTGTGTTACATTCCACTGAAAATCACCAAAATGAGCTTTTTAAAAGTCTCGCGTGAGGCTCCAAGACAATAACCCAATCTAGTTTTTATATATAACATGTACTCATGCTATATCATTCCGTGGATGAAATATAAACACACTTACGATTATCGCACATAGTAAATTTCCTCTTCAAATCCAGTGACAAAATGCAATTCTCAAATTTGACTAAAAATAGCCAATTTCAACAACGTCTGTCAGGCCAGCTAAAGCCTCCTGGGCCATTCCATATTGATAAAATTGTTCTTTAATACTTGAATTATAGTCATTATACCATCAAAACTATCTACGGGCAATTTTGAATCCGTCGCGAAGTGATGAAACTGACCATGGCAGCGGCTTTGTCTGCGGGCAATTATAGCCTCCTGGAGACAAATTCTTGATTTCTGATATTTGTACGTTTATCGACCAAATCTTGAAAATCTAGCCCAAACACCATCTATAACTAGGTATTACCTTAATTTGAGCAAAATATGAACGGAATCTATTTTTCGTGTATTGCCGCAGAATTCAAATTTTGGTCGATTTTTACGGACAGTCGCTCTTAATCCTGATGTCAGAACTTGATGAGATATAGGCTATCTGGCTATAACCATGAACATGCATGTGAAGATATTTAACATTGTATTTGTATGTTGTTATTGGTAATGTAAATAATCCTACAATATTTCTCAGCATTAAATTATTTAAAATCCCAATTTGTTTGTCAATTCAATTTATTCAAGCAGGTAAAAAG